CAGAGAAGAAATACGTTCGTGTTTTTTTTACGAAACGTGACACACACATCAGAAAAAAAAACAGGAAACGATAAAGTTGTGATTTTTTTTATATTAGTTTGAATTTAGTTATGCGACGTTTCTAAATTGGGAAAACGTGATATTATGGAATATAATAGTTTAAGCATAGTCACACAGAATTGTAGATTTTCCTCACATGATTATTTAGAATTCTAAATCCATACTCGCGCAATAAAAGCTGACCCAGTCAGCGCTACGACAAATACCCATATTATGACTACATCTACGTATGATAGCAACAAGAGTTGTAAATCTGTTACCATGGGAACTAATGGCAAATTTCCATGGAAGGAAAACCTATATTTTGTGCGAAAACCTGTTCGGTATTTTCATTTTTGTTCAGTGAGCAACAACATAAAATAAAACCAAATTGTAAAATTTTAAAAAATCTGATCATTTTTTTTCAACCAAATTGTGATTGTTTATAGTTATTATTCGTTGTTTTGGTTCTTGATTGACACCCAGAGGACTGTGAGTTCAGGGGCTTTGTCATGATTTATCCATGTTTTTCAGAACACTTACCAAAGACGTGCGTTAATTTCACCAGGATCTTATTTTAACTTGAATCAGATTGGCTCCCGGGCGACTGAGCCCGAATTTATGTTTGAATTAATGATAATGATTAATTTAAGATGAAGATTCCCCAGATAGCTAAACTCGTGGTCGACATGATCATTAGTCATAATATTATCGTAGTAATATTCATTTGTCGTTAAAACTAGCCATTCAAGGAAGAGATCGCATATTATGTATATGTATAATGGAGTCTGGCAAAACACATCAATGGATTTTACTCGCAATTTCGTTGAGAGCGAAGGAGTTTCTAACAAAACATGCTTGCGCCTCAAGGTACTAGTATACTAATGGAGTAACTACAAAATGGTTGTTTTATTGAATTCAAGTTTTCATCAAAGGTTGATTTCCGTGGAACGCATATTGATTTCAGCAATGTCACATGATACGGTTTATTTATGTATTTGTAATGTGTAAACTGCAGTACAATATATGTGGGACAAGTGTTGTATAAGTAGTTTCATGCGTGCAACCACAGTCCCTCTATCACCGGTCTGGAAACGCTTAGTATTCTATTGTACCTCTGCAAAATACGTTATTTTTGCCGAAGGCGTGATTCAGTGAAAATAAAATCCAGCGAATATACCATTTTTCCTATATTTTACACTCAACTCATCAAAATTCAGTGAAAATAAATTCCATAAAAAATTCCACCCAGAGAAAATTAATTCCAGCTAAAATAACATCTTTTACAGTACTAGTATTACCAAGGGAATACAGGTGAACTAATGTCATTGTAGGAATGAATGTTGTCTATAGAGGCTTGTTGTTAGTAGAGATGGCGTAGAACTGTGAATTTATGAAAGTCGTCATGTGAACATTTCAATAACAAATAACTTATATGACTGAACATGTCATAAATAGACTATTCTGGTAAGATGAAATTCCATTTCACGATGAACCATTCAAATCACTATACAATTTTCGGATATAATTCGCCGACGACTTCTTTGTCTTTGCTACTTTCTTTCTCCGAACCTATCTGCACTTGCATCAACCGAAAGAAATGTTGTTATGGTAATTAGATTTCGTCACGGACGGTTGATTCCGAAGTCGACTCATTGTCTTGACTATCACAAGACGAGATAGTTTCGCTTTTGTTTTCTGCAAAATTATTTTTCCTGGCTTCGGTATGACTATCGTATAATGGCGAATCTAGGATAGCATTGCTTGATAGACGTTTTTTTGCAACGATTATCTAACAGATTTCGAACTCACACTGGGAATGGTAGCAAATATCGAACGATGATGACCAGTTGGGGAACCATTTTCAAGATGATAGGGATGCAGGATAAGGAAAGAGATGTCTTCTATTATTTCTGAAATTGTCCGTAGTATTCATACTCTAAAGTGTGTTTTAATTAAATTGTTTTTATTTACTTCATAATTACGTCTAAATAAAAATGTCAATTTTAATAACATCATAATTAGGATCACTTGAAATGTAGACAATTATAGGCGTTGCATAAGTTCAGGTATTCCTGTAATTTGAAAAAAATCCGTAATAACCTTTTGACGAGACGACGATGATTGTTATGCGCATGCGCATTTTGGTTATCATAATTACCCATTTCACTGAGTAAATAAATGAGCGCATTAATTATAATATCATATTACTATTTACTCACATGCGCCGTAAAATACCGATATTTGCCGATCATAAAAACATCACCGACACTATGTCATCACTGTTGAAAGATACTCTGTCCCGTTCACAATGTTTGTCGTAACGCGCAGAACTGTTTTATTTGTGTTATTGGTGATTTTTATTATTGTCATACCGAATTTTAATCAGTAACGATGAGGGTTCTTTCCGCGCGGAGAAGGAAGTAACGGGGGTTTTCATTCCTTACACAAAACCGCCGATCTCGTGTTGATGTCAGAAATGACTGCATTTAGTGTTAGAAAACTCGATTTTTGATTGCGTCATTTACCAATCTGAAGTTTTGGTGCTTATCAGAAAGACTGTCAAAACGTGACTCAAGTCGACAGTTATATACATTCGGTTGACCGGAACACTGAATGCCACCGTGTGGAGGAAAGATGTTTGTTAACAAGTTTTCATTTGAGCCCCGGGACAGATTCAAAATTCAAATTACGATGAATTTATCAAAATAGGATGCTGCGAACATTACAGTTATGTTTATTTCAATCTAATGTATTTCATATAAAGTTGATAAATTACACAGTCAACTATAAAAACGAAAAAACAAGCTCGAATGGGTCTGATTTATATGATTGATTATCTTGTTGGCGAAAAACGCCACGTACTCCACCGTATCGTACATGCTTGCCACTATTATTTGCTTCAAACTCATTTATTTGTAAATAGTTTGTGAAAAATATTCTAAATGTCAATGGAACAGATGTGACATGCTTGACAAACACATGCGACGATATTCTATTGTGTCATTCTAATCCGTTTAGTGTAATAACGATAGTACATGTGCATTCATTTTAACTTTAACATTGCAATGGAGCAAGATTGCCTCTATAAAGCCCTTTGGTGCCTGCAAGAGTTCCACACTCCGCCAAGTACCGATGCCTGCAAGATCTTCACACTCCGCCTAGTGTCGATGCCTGCAAAACATTCACATACCGCCTAGTGTCGATGCCTGCAAAACATTCACATACCGCCCAGTGTCGATGCCTGCAATACCTCTACAATTCATCGAGGACCGTGTAATTATTGCGGCGGGCTTAATGTGTGCTTAGTGTTATAATTGAATACCATTCGTTTCAATTTTGGATAATGGCAATGGAACGGCTCAGAAAGTCACTACTTGTAATAGCCTGCCTGACTACAGTTCTTTTTATATGGAGAGGACAGATTGCCGGGAACCCCGAAAACTGTATATGCACTGAGATGGTTGCAGTCGAATCGCCATCGGTATTGACGAAATCGTCGCTTAATGAACAAATTGGGGACAGCAGTGATACTTATCTCCTAGAAAAATCAGTAATGGCAACTGACATTTTAGAGAATGTGGGGGATATTTGGGATGCAAGTGTCGACAAAGAAGCCTACTTGCGTGCCAAGTATGATAATTTTTGCTATAAACCAGAAGAACCTTACTTCAAGCATGTACAACCACTTGAGAGAAGTAAACTAAAACAACGTGGATGCCGAAAAAAGCTGCCACAAATTATCATGCCTGGAGCAAGGAAATGTGGCACGGGAGCTCTACTGAGATTTTTGAAAATTCATCCTAATATAACAGGAGCACCGGAAGAACCACACTTTTTTGATCAGAGAAGAGCAAACCTAACCACGTCAGATTACAGTGAGAAAATGCCATACAGCACTGATTCCCAGTTGGTCATAGAGAAGACGCCCACATATTTCTACCGTCCTCACAACACCCCGCAGTTGATCAAAGATGAAATCTCTTCTGATACAAAGATTATTATTGTGTTGTGTGACCCAGTTAGAAGGGCCGTATCGGACTACTTGGAATTTATTTGGCGGGAAAAACGGAGATCTGAGAAGCACGTCGTCGGGAAGAAGTTGGACAGCTTTGAACATTTGGTGTGGGATCACGCAACAATACGAGGTGGGATTAACCAATTAAACGAAATGATCGATGTAGGAATTTACGCTAAGCACCTTATAAGATGGTTTGACGTCTTCAGTCGAGACCAGATTTTGCTTTTAGATGGAACGTTGCTTTTGACGGATCCTCTATCAGAACTGAAAACAGTGGAAAGATTTCTGGGCCTGAGAAGTTTCTTTCAAAAAGACCACTTTTCGATGAATGAAGAACGAGGCATATTTTGCATGGATTTCCCCAGTGAGTACTGCTTACCCGGATGTAAGGGGCGCAAGCACCCACACGTGGATGACAAAGTATGGGCTTCACTGTGTGACTTTTATGCACCATACGACAGATCCCTTGAACAAATGACAGGAAAACATTTCTCATGGGTTGGTAAATGTGCCAGTCAAGACCAATGACTCTCAATAACGTTGACATTTATTTGCATATTCCCAACCAACCCTCAAATAGTATCACCACCATTGTCGACAAGAATGTATGTTTATGGCAATTACAATTCATTAACAACCACCGGAAGATACAGTATATGTGTCTTTAACTTGGACTATTGGCAATTATTTGCATTGAATTCAAGGAATATTTACTTTCTACTTGTTGGATTAGTACAATACGTAACACATGTTATAGACTGACGACGAATGACAAATTATAAAAGGGACGGAGGGGGCTTTGCATCATTTCACATATTTCATACGCATTAACACGTCACAGAAATCGACACCAACTGAAATATGTTCTGTCGGAAATTTCTCAGAAAATCTAAGTGTTGTAGTTTGCTATAAACCTGAAAACTTAATTAGATCAAAACGAGATTCGCGATTCATCTGAAAACAAATCCCTCAACTGGTGTCAACATATCTCAGCTGTCTCCGTCTGTTGCTTTTGTCAACATGAGGAGAAGATAGAACACAAAAGAACATGTGTTACCTGATTGTACAACATATGTATCATGGAATGTTGAATAGTGATTAATATACTGAGTTAATGTGGCAGTTTTGATGTGCTTTTAGTGTTGTAATTGCTGTACATTATTTCAAACTAGTGTATCTTTTCTCAACATCCCAACCTTGTACATTTGTGTGTTATTCATCGATTTAGCTATATACTTGTTAAAAGCATTCAAAAGACGAGATTATTATGAGACATGTAAAATGTAAATCTTAGTGATTTATTTATTATTTATATGTAAATTGATTTATCATTTTTTTTTGTGGTGTCGTAATTTTAACTGTAAAAACACCTCTACTTATGTATTTTGATATGGTATGATATGAATTTTATTAAGTAGAATGGCCTCAGGCCTATGGTACAATAAATCAAACAAAGAATAGAAAAATACATACAGAGGGATTCCTTTAAATAATTGTTGAATCTACTAGTCACAACTGGTTAAGTAGATTGACTCTGTGTTTAGAAGCGTAGAATACAAATTTTGAAATTTGAAGTACAGATAAGTTGTCAAACTGCGTTAAACGAAGAAATTTTTCTGATTTGACAGATAAAATATAGGTAAATATTTTGTTTCTAAGACTTACATAACGTGGACATACAAGGCAAAAGTGGTATTCATCCTCAACTAACCCTAAATTACATAATTTACAGATTCTCATATTCCTCGGTATGTTTAGTTTACGATCAGATTCAACCCAAAGGTTGTGGGATGATGTTCTAAGCTGACATAGCGCAGAACGTAACTTGTTGTCTTTTATTAAATTC